CTCAGTTTCCCTGTAGGCACATGGATATTATCCTATCATAGACAGCATTGTACCTCATGACTGATCTGGATATAATTGGTGTTAGAATAGTGTGATCATCCAGCAAACACTCCTGGGCTGTCGATGAGAAAAAATGTGTAACAAATAATCAGTATAAGCTAAAACAATGTCCAAAATAAGAGATGTTGATTCGAAAGTCAGAAATTCTCTATAAGATCAACTATAAATATCTAAAACAGATGTACTTTTATGATCATGCTATAGAAATATTCTTTTTGACAATGAATGCAACACCATTCCTCTTCAATTTGTCATTCCCGGCATAGTAAACCATGTGGTTGTCAGATTCAAAATGGCAATACCAGTCCATTTCAGCTCACTAATGCTGCCTAAGATATTGATGTTTATGCGTACCATTCCATTTTTGACAACTTCCAATTTTCCTAGATTCATCCTTTTTACATTCCATGTTCTGCTTTTCAATGGACATTTACAGCTAGGAAGAAAGCGTGACGAACTACTTCTGAATATTTAGTCACTGTAAACCTCATGAATGGCAGAGAAACACTGTCAGATAAACTGTACCTGTAGTTAATTGTTCCAACTGTTAATTTGAAGCTATTTTTCCAACAGAAAAATGAAAATCGATTCTATCTGAAGGAAGTGAATGTCAGCATGAATTTGGGAAATGGCTCTGGTAAGCATTGGTCTGGGGGAGAAGTAAGGGGGTTAGATTGAAGGAATTTAAACCCTAATTGTCTTTTTGCAAATAGTACCTTATTTAATGGGACAGATGATTCTCTGTGAAAAGTGTGCCGTAGCCACAATTTGAAATGAATATCTTAGAACCAAGGTATTCTATTTTTATTGTATTGTATCTTTTGAAAGTATGGTGGACAGTAGGATGTGACTGATTTTACACTATGGAAATATCTGCGAAAGACAAGGGAACCTAGTATTAGTAAGAATTGCGTTTTGTTCTCATACTCAATTGGAAAATTGTGAGGACAGTCTGATTTGGGACACTGATAGGAGCAAGATGATACTAACCTGTTTCTTTCTTTAAAGTTTTCAGTTTTGTAAACAACAATCTTAGTTACTGGGATGCCCCTCTGGGAAGTTCTTATATGTGCAACAAAGAGCAGACCGTGTCAGTGTCTGGAGCATTTCAGATCAATACCTTTGATCTAAGGGTTCAGCCTTTCAGTGTGATGGAAGGAAACTATTCCACAGGTAAGAACCAGACCCACTGTACTCCTAATTCCTGCTCTTATATTGATAAGTGGCTTTTCATTTGAGTCATGGAAATGTAAACCTTGAAATAGAGAATATGAATTCAGCTCATGCGGCTGTTGACATAACCATGGGCAAATCATGTAACTCTATTCCTTGATATCTACAAACAATACTTAAATTTAGTTTTGCTCAGCATAGATTTTTTTTTGTGTGTGTGTAACGTGGACACCATTTGCGTCAAAATTCATAAAGTTTTAAGTGAGCTTTGCTGGAAGTTGAGATCTCCCCCAAGGTTTTCAGTTGTGGAGCCGTAACAATGAGCATCTTGGATCTGCCTTCTGGTGCCATCTTTGGGCTGGAAACATTTTCACTGAAAGAAAGCAGTTTGGTCTTATTTTGTTAAGACTAAGAAGTCCTGGTGTGGCACTGTGGGATAAGCACTGGACTGCTAACTGTAAGGTTGGCAGTTCAAACCCACCAGCCACTATAGGGGTCCCTATGAATTGGAACTGACTTGACTACACTTACCAACAATGAAACTTAGAGTGGAAGCAAAGGCTTGAATAGCATGAAGTATGTTTTTTACTAGTCAAAATGAGCTGGAGAGTTTAAAAAGATATATGCGAGTATGAATGCATGAGGCTATTTGAAGATCTACTCAGGGCTAATGATAGAATTTACCAGATTTTTTTTATGAAGCCCCTATCGAAGGGATCATTAACATTTTATATGAATACAGAAAATGTATTTGGCATTGCCAGATTTGAATTTGCATAAAGAAATAAAGTACATAAAAATTCCATTATTAACTTGAACTTGTAAACTGATGACCAAATATTGAGGTTTTGTGGGTCATCTCTTTGTTGAGTAGAGCTATTCCAGTCATCCACATCTTTTTCAACAATGAGTGGTATGGTTTAGAAGGCAATGCAGAAGCAGTGTTTAGAAGTGAGTAGTGCTGAATATCTACTTGGAGTTGATTAGGCTAAAATAAATCAGGCTCTTCACACTATCATTCTTAGGACTAGAGAGATTATAACCACACTTCAAAAACAGTTTTAAGAATTCATTTTCTCTATTGTTATTATTATTTTTTCAATTACTTTGATCCTTCAATGGCTTCATTTTTTTGGAGTCTGTATCTAGCTCCCTTATATTATTAGCCTTATTTTGGATCCAGTTTTGTGTTTAGAATTTAAAATCATTTATAGTGTTAATATCAGTTCAAACCTGTTTACCTTGTCAGCCTTAATAGAGATGAGCTGTGTTTTCTCTAATATGAAACTTTGATGTTCATGTGCATAGAATAAAACAATGTAACCCAAGAGGGTGTATGCAACATTTAATACTGCTTATGCATAAGCTCTCTGCAACTAGGTTCTCAACTGTACGTACCTGTAAATATAACACACAAGTAATACTTGTCAGTATAGAGGAAATACAGTTGTATTAAAGTAAAATGATGTTGATTAGATTTGACTAGATAAGAATACTCTTTAGAAATAGAAAAAGATTGCTTCTTCAGGTTGCCAGCTCTTAATCAGATTGATAATAAATAGTAAACAAATTTTTTGACTTTTGTAGCCACCAAGATTCTATACTGTAAAGTCAGGAATCTGCACACCTTTTTTTCTGGAAAGAACCAGACAGTAAATATTTACAACTTTGCAGGCATACAATTTGTTTGGAATATTTAACTCTACCACTATAGCACAAAAACAGCATTAACGTCACATAGATAAATGAATGTGGCTGTGTTTCAATAAAACGTCATTATGGATACTGAAATTTGAATTACATATAATTTTCCTGTACCACAAAGTATTCTTCTTTTGATTGATTTTTTTGGGTAGCTATTTAAAAATTAAAAACAATAAAATCAAAGCATTATTAGCTCTTGGTTTGGACTGGCCTGTGGGCTATAATTCGCTGACTCCTGCTGTAGAGGCACTCCAGGGCCAGCTGTTCTAATCCAAGATAATGTCCTGATCTGTTACATTCTTCCAAAGGACATGTGGCCTGCTACTGAGAGGCTGTGTACGGATGGACTAGATTAGTTCCTTCCATTTTGCTCCTATATTAAAAATGATTTGTAATATAAATATATACACATATGTATGCATACAATATAGTATAAATTATATTTTTATGTATGAGTATCTATACAACATATGTACAGGATGAGTGAAAGGACAAATGTGTTTTAGGATTTTAATTTTAGACTAATCCATAATTTTCTATAGCCTGATCATAAAAGTAGACCTGTTTTAGTTATTTACAGTTGATCTGATAGAGAATTTCTGACTTTTGAATCAACATCTCTTATTTTGGACATTGGTTTTGCTTATACTCATTATTTGTTACACACTTTTTCTCATCTACAGCCCAGGAGTGTTCGCTGGATGATGACACCATTCTAATACCAATTATAGTTGGTGCGGGTCTTTCAGGCTTGATAATCGTTATAGTGATTGCTTACCTAATTGGCAGAAGAAAAAGTTATGCTGGATATCAGACCCTGTAATGCTAATACATGTTATCGCTGTTAAAAACAAATAATAAAGCAAGAACAAGTTCCAACATGAAACATGATTCAATTGAAGGTATATTTAGTTGTAGTCCTGGTCCTGGAATGAGTGGTATGGAGGATTTCAAATTTAAAGAAACAAACAAAAATCCCCAAAGACTATATAAACTACAACCTAGTTGTGTGATTTTGGCTTCCCCAAAAGCCCTGATGATGCAGTGGTTAACCGCTCGGCTGCTAACTAAATGGTTGGTGGCGACCTCTCTGCTGGAGAAAGATGTGACATTCTGCTTCCATAAAGATACTCACTTAGGAAAGCCAATGGGGGCAGTTCTACTCTGTCCTATAGGGTCACTATGTGTTGGAATCAACTCGACCACACGCAACAGTAACAACATTTCTGCAGCCAAAGGCACGTGCAAAATGGCCTGAATTATAGGCTTCATTTTTTTGTCTTGAACTCATTTTTCAGTATTTTCCCTTTAGATATTTTGACTAGAAATTTACAATTTAGGAAAAATGAGTCTTTAAAGTTTTTTAAAGTGTAATGTTTTCCCTGCATGCAATTGAGTTAACATATTCTACATTGGATTTGTGTTTGCTCCATTTGCACTTTGTGATTTTGCTTGCAGGTTAATTTAGCTACTTTGGCATTACTGTATATTTGACCTATGAGAGATATGCCAGTAGATCTGAACAGGTCCTAGTATGTTCTTAGCAATAACTGCTTTTTTAATGCTTTGAATAATTTGTATTGAATGACAAAAGCTAAAGAAGCTTTTTATGAGCTTTAGAATATCTGGTGTTAATCTTATTTACTCCTTAAAAAAAAAATTCTAGGTATTTCAGCCTTTTGAAGTACAAGACACAAGACAATTCCAACTGGGCATTTCAGTCCAGTTTCTAGGTACTTTAGAGATAATTGCTAGGCAATGCCAATTTAGGGTATTAGTCATTTGTGCTGTAAATTGGCCTCTACATGCTGAAATGGTTTGCTTTTTCAAATAAACATTAGGTGGCGTATGGCAAATGGACAATTGGTACATCTAAAATTAATGCAAATTTCTCTTTAGCCTTTCAGTACCTTTTTTCTGTACATAACGTGCCCACACAAATAAGGTGCACTTGCATATAATGCTCATAGCTCACATAGGAAGCTAACTCACGAGTTGTGCATTTGCTATAATGTGCACATTATTTGTGTAAAATATTTGTGAGTGGTAGCATGTTTTTTTTTCCTTTTCTTTCTCTTAATAAAGAAATATCAATAAAGAGATAAAAAAGTGAACTTAAACTTAAAAGTAATTTGCACCTGACTCAAAAGTCTTGGTTTTCTCACAGTGGTGTCTAGTGAAAAGTTTCTCCTTGTTTCCAGCTTGCATTGATTGCTACGCTACTTACTAATTTGACTTTAATATTTAAATGGTTTGTACTAATTACAACCCGCATAGTTACTGTTCATTACACTAGTGGTAGCGGAGGTTTTGTACCATTGAGTCAGTTCCAACTCATAGTGACCCTGTGTAGGGTTTCTGAGGCTGTCAATCCTTATGGTAGAATCATTATTAATTCATGTACTTTGTGTGCTCTGAAGAAATGTACCAATTGTCCACTTACTATGTCCATAATAACATTTACCTAATATTATATGAGAAAACTCACTATTTCAGCTTGATAGTCAACACATCTAGTAATCCTTGCTGCTTATAGGAGACTTTTTATATTGGAGTGGCTGAGCATATCCTTTAAAAATTATTAATCTATAGCCATATATGGAAACTTCTCATTATTTTTGGAGGTGGGGTTATATGCCTCACCATTTACTAGAAGATGAGATCTCTAAGTTCTAAGATAATTATTGATGTTGAATAAGCTTGATAGTCTACACACATACATGTCCATGAGGGTAAGTCAAAAAGTATTGTTACAAGGACTCTAGTTCTTACATGCATGGGTTTATTAAAACAAAACCTGTTTAAACGTGTCTCTGTGATCAGTGGATGGCTGTAGACAAGTTTTCTCTGTAATATACTTGTCTTAGTCTCATAAAGGTGCCTTCAAAAAAGGATACTTTTTTTGAGGTCAGGACTAATATCAAATTTTTAGCAAAAGTCAAGTAGACACCTTTTCAAATCATTGAAGCTTTGTAGCAAGTTTACAGGAATGCTGCCTCACATAAAACAACAGTTTATAGATGGATCAAGCATTTTAAGGGAGGTTGGGAAGACTTCAAAGATGAGTTCAAGTCAGGTTAGTTCGGAAGTTATGATGACTAGTTTCTTTGGGGACTCCAAACAGATAATCCTGATAGAAGTTTTTTGAAAGACACAGGACGATCATGGGAAGCTATTATGAAGAAGTTTTGTGAAAACTTCATTGGTGAGAAAAAGCCAGGAAATTTGCACCGAAGAAGTTTTTTTCCATCATAACAATGCACCTGCTCATTCTTCGAGGGTAGCAATGGCTGTCTTATGAGAATTTCTTTTCATTGGGAAACCTTATCCCGTCCATTGTACATCCCTGATTTTGCCCTTTCAGACTTCTTATTGTTCCTCAAACTCAAAAAACATTAGAGGGAACATGATTTGAATCCCTCAATGCCATGGTATAAATGGAAGAGCACAAAGAATTCTCCAGGTGAGGGTTTAGAGAGATAGAAACACTGTCTTCAGAAGTGTATAGACCTAGATGGAGACTATATTTAGAAACAACAGCTTCAAATTTTGATATTTTTGTTTAATAAAGGTTTCTATGATTTGGTAGCCATACTTTTTGACTTATCCTAGGATATAGGCCATTGCATGTTAGCATATGTTTATCTGTAACTGTTCTTTTAGTTATATTGGAGTGATAAATATTTTCTCCCATTCAAAGTTGTCTCTGTTTAAAGTAGCCTGAAAACCTTACTAGCACAGAATCAGATTCTCAAGTAGCCTCCCTTTTAAAGTTACATTGAGCAGTATTGCCGAAATGTAACACTTACTAAGCACCAAATAAAACTGATTTTCAAAAATTATTTAATTTAAATAGGAGGAAGCTTCAAAAAGTTTGTGAAAAGGAATGGAATTAAAAGATAATGGAATTTTTCCACAAAATTTTTGAAGCTACCTTGAAGTGTTTTACTGTGAAATTGTTACCCATAAAAGAATGGATAATGTTTATAAGAATGTGGGCCTTAGATATTTCTCATAAGTCCAAACAAAGCAGCTCTGTAGCATTAAAAAAGAAGAAGAAGAAGAAGAAGAAGAAGAAATTAGAAGCATAAATGGGAGGCACTGACTTAATATTGTTGATGTTTTTCAAACTTTTTTCATTTAGATTATATACCTGGTTTATATTAAAATACGTCTAATAACCACTGTTTTATAGAAAATCTGATTTCACTGAATTTTTTTTTTTTTTTTGTATTTTACATGGGCCAGTTATATACTGCTATTTATGCTGTTGTTTGGTATAGCCACATGTTCTTTGTACTTACTGTAGTTTTATTTGTTCTATGGGGTTTACACCTTGATGGTAATACTCTATTTGGTTTGGGGTATCTTTCATGTGTTAGCATTTGTATAAAGAAACTGGTTCATGTAAATACTTTCTATGTTTGTTTGGGTTTTTTTTCTCAAATGTTTAAACCACTAGTTGCTGTATAGTACTTCTCTTTAGATATATGCCTGTCCATTTGCTCACCATAATTCTTTAAAAACAAATAAAGATTCTCTTATTTCTTAAGGAAATTTGCTCACATTTTTTCCCTCATTGGTTAAGATTTTGTATATGATCTAATGACAGTTTCTTTCAAAAAGAAAGATTGTAGAAGCTCTTAAAAATAGAACTAAGTTATTTTAAAAATGTCTGTGTATTCTTGTTTGGAAAAGTTGTCCCGTATGTAGGTCTTGAATGATGCTTGACTAGCGACAGAATAAGAATCACCTGGGAAGCTTGTTAATAGAACTATAGATTCTAGGCACCATTCTTAGGAAATTTGATTTAGCAAGGAGTGATTGGGGCCTGTGGTGTGTGTGTGTTTGTGTACACAGTCTTGTGCACACACTCACATGCAATGGAAAGCTCCCCAGTTGAGTCTAATGCATAGTCAGGGAACTAGTGATATAGAATATTTATTCTAAAGTAAAAGCTTCAGAGAACCTCTTTGTACATGTTTTCAGCTCAACTGATGCTGACGTTTAATATCTAGATCACTGCTTTATGATGCAGCCAAACAAATGGAAAGAAATGAAAGTTGGATTATGAACAATCTATCTCTTAAGTCATTCTAAAACATTTGAACTTTCCAATATCCAGATAGCTTCCCAATCACCTTCCTATATCACACAAGAAAATTTAGTAAAATACCAGTAATTTCCTTTTGTATTTATCCAGTTAATCATTATACTCCCATCTCTGCTAATAGCTACCATCTGACCTTGCCTAAGTTGCTTAAATTTTTCTGATGGTCTCAGGTCCTTCATCTGGAGTCTGGGACCTTTAAAATCCTGTTACTTTATTTATTTACATGACAATTTCCAATTCAGTGACGATAAAACATTTAAACATTTTAAGGAATAATCTGTGCATTAATTACTTATCATGTATTGACATACTTTACATAATATATAAAATGTGCCATCTTAAGTTCCTTCACTTTGTTTAGGAGTAATTCTCAAGAGACATGATTATTTTAAGATGAAAGAATTTCATCTTTTTTTTTTTTTTTTTACAATTTCATCTCTTTTTTTAGCTCTTATTTTGTTCTTCCACCACTTGTCTGTCAGTTTTAGAGTGCCTTCTAAACTTGCATGCTAACTGTGATTCTGGAAGCATGGTCACCACAGTGGACAGGTTTCACAGAGCTTCCAGATGAAGACAGACTAGGAAGAAGGAGAAATGGACTACTTCTGAATATTTAGTCACTGGAAACCTTATGAATAGCAATGGAATGCTATTAGCACCAGAATATTGCGTATTGAAACATGAAGACTACCAGAATATTGTCAGATATA